TGGTGATGAGGTTAACATTTGAGTTAATTGAAATTTTTTTAAATCATTTATAGTTTGCAGTATTTTGCTGATTTTTTTCGTAAACACGTCAAAAATTTGGATTATTCATTTGTATTTCTAATGGGTGATCATGGATTACGATTTGGTAGTATTCGAGAAACTGTAGTTGGTGAAGCTGAAGACAACAATCCATTGCTTACGGTAAGCTTTCATACTTACAACAAAAGGAATATCTAAGCACGAATTAAATGACAAAATGATATATAATTTCATCGATAAATTCTGGAATTTCTTATGAAAAATTTTTAAATTGTACATTTTTAGCATTTCTCTAATAAATTACGTCATAGCTTTCTTCTGTTTCAGATAGCGCTACCAAAATATTTGCGCTCAAATAAGCAGCTTATTTTGAATTTGAAACAAAATTCTCGAAGACATACATCCCATTTTGATTTTTACGCAACATTATATGATATAGCACGATATGCAAGGAAAGATAATTTCCAGAAATGGGATGAACACGATTTTAGGTTTCACCTTTCTCTATTCCTTAGATCTCAATATGTTTTGCAATAAATTATCGAAATATCAAATAAGCATTGGCACGTTTGCTATTACTTATTTAAATATAAAAAGTTATCTCAACGAAATTTACGAAATCTTTATTCCTCCAAAAAAAAACAGTCTTTTCTGTTTTTTCAGCATAATTTTTCAACTGTAATTGGGAATTTTGCTTTTAATTTATATTTATATTGCATTTATATTTTGCTTTCAAAGATTTCTAAGTTTGATTTCTTAAAATTTGATTTTTAAAGATTTCTAAATATAAAAAAGATTTATAGGTGCAAAAGATTCTATAAGATTATATGCTTTGTTACATGGATTTTTCCGATATTTATTTGAACTGCAGGAGTGAATTTGGTGAGACAAGAGGCGGAATTCGTGCAAAGAGTATGCTGAGGCCTATTTTATACGACAGGTAAAACAATTAGTGATTATTTTCATGATAGCAATAGATTTTATACATTAATTTTTTTGAAGGAAGACGAAAAAAGAATAGAATGACCGAAGATTATTAGAAATTAGCACTTAAATTTATGATTATGGCTTGTTTTCCTTTTTTTCTAATAATTTTTCAAATACAAAATCTGCATAAATTTCAAATATAAATCTATTTTCGGTTTTAATTCAATTTTGATAATTTGAGCATTTAAAGTTTATAATCTAACTTACAGGACGTGTGAAGAAATGGAAATTCCAGATGAGTATTGCATTTGTGAGCGAACTTGGTATAAGTCTGATATAAATAGTTATGATGTGAAGAAATCTGCGCAATTTCTCGTCATTTATATCAACAATTTTTTAAAACAGAAAAATCTGAGTGGAATTTGTGAAACCCTCACTTTTGTAAAAGTGATAATTTCAATTTGAATAAATATTTAATAGATAAAATTGTTAAATGATGAAAAAAATACGCGAATAATTACATTGTTGTTAAATAAACTACAGCAGGAGAGCTTTTATGCAATAAATATATTTGACGCACTAAATTTTTGGCAGTCATGCATATCTATTAGAAAAGCTTGCTTCCAGTTTACAGCATTTCGTGTGATACGATGGCATGAATATATTGATAATAGTGATAAGACAACATAATGATATGATTTTCCTCTGTCTGTCATTAACTATGAAAAAGTCGTAGTGAAATCTGCAAAATTTAAAGTTTTAAATAATCATTTTTGAAATGAAATAATAAATTTTTGCTTCATTTCATTTTCATTAAAGATTTTTTCAGGTAATTTCGGCACAATACATTGAGGAGAGGCCATTGTTGAAAGTAGTTGTCAAGGCTTCACCGAGCAATGGAAAATATGAGGCGCAATTGTTGAAGGAGAAAAATAGCCTTAAAATAATTACAAAAGTAGTACATTTTCTTGCTATTATTTCACTTTCGTCATTTTGTTTTATTATTTTATTTATTTCATTCAATAATATCATTTTAATTTTTTTCTATTTTTCAATTTCGATTTTATTTTTATATTTAATTTTCCTATTCATCATTTTATTCATTCATTATATTTCATTATTTATTTGATGGCATTTAATAATGTTTATTATATTTATTTATTAAATTTTAAGCAGAAATAATATGCTATACCATATTTCATAGCAAAAAATTGTTTTCATCCTATCAAATGATTATGTGGTGTAGTTTTTTAAAATTTGTAATTTTGACACATTCAGATAATTCGATTGGATCAGTACGGTGAACAAGGACATTGTGCACCTGCTGAAGATGTTCGACCTCTGTGTTACTGCCGACAGCAGCTTACAACAACACCTGCAACAATGCATTAATAATATTTGTGATATTTTGCTCTTTTAAGCTTTTAATAGGAAATGCTATCATTTAGTCAAAAATGATTTACCAGAATTATTGCGAACTTTCCATAATAATTATGCACCATCGTTTTGATGCAAAAAAAAACAAAATAAAAAAAGAAGCAATTTAGAAACATTAAGTGTGAAATATTGAAATATAATATGTGTAGTAGCATATGAATTAAATTTACAGTGCTTTTTTTAAATTCTTTTAAATTAATTCACTTGTTGAGAAAATTAGTTAAATATGTGAAATATCAAATTTATCCTATTTATTTATTAATGCGTTTACTTTGAATATTATGTTGCGAAAGGTAATATTTAAAGAAAAAAATC